TTAGATCTGTGACCTGACTACCAGGGAATAAAATCAGGATCACTTTTCCACTATCAATTAATGTTTAACTCAGTGCAATAAATAGTTCTTTCAATATTTAATTATTTTATGGAAAAGAGAGCAGGCTCAACGGCAAAGATAAACTGTCTCTGTGGAAGACTCAAGAGAGGGCCGATGAGGAGATTTTGGAGTGTATTTGAGGAGGGCAGAAGAGAAACTTGGGCCTTTGCCCCAAGGCTATGTTCTAACTGCCAGAATTACCTTAATACGATACTAGGAAAGGTGCGTTTTGAATCACTGAAATGTTTGCAACATGCTCTGGCTCGAGAAGACGATTCCTTATAGGGATTCCTGAGCAGAGACGGATGCTTCCCTGCAGCCTGCATTTAGGTACTTCAAACCTTTTGGGGTTTGGGCTCTTTTTGCAACCCTYTCTGTTATATCCTGTCGTAGGTGCTTGGGGAACTTGTTTCTGAGTTTTCTCTTCTTAGCTGGTTAGATTTACAGGTGTGGATTTTGCCTCGTTTCCTGCTAAGCTCCTCCTGTGCAGGTAGCCCTTTGCACACCGATGATCTGAGATGTTCTGGGGGCTTTACTCCAGAAAGAGCAACCTGGTTGCGTTTCATCTGCAGTAGCAAAGAGAAAAGTATGTCCTAAAACTGAATTGACTTTAAATGCCTTTGTTTTTCACACAGGTGGTTAACACGGGTTGTCTTGCACAGTGGTTTCAGCTGTGTGAAAAGCATTTTTTTTCAGATGTTTACCTGTAATAACAATTATACTTACAACAAATGATCCCCAAATTTTTACGTTAAATATTTATTTGGACAAATGTTCTGCTAAGGAGAGAGTTGAGACCAATGATGGATGCACCACAGGGGTTTATTTAGTGTTTATTGCTCGATTTTACTTAGCGTCTAGAGGAAAAGAAATAAATAGGCTAGACTTCCTGGACCTTAAAACACACTGTACTCTGTGCTCCTAGAGACTTATCTCTGCCATATTCTTCTTTGTATCTATCAAACTGTACTTAAGTAATAATAAATAAGAATGGTATTGAATTCTGAATTTTATCTGATAGTAGATTTTGTATCAGAATAACCTTAAATGCTTTGTGAGGTGCAAGGGATAGTTTTAATGAGGTTTCATGACTTTAGCTCACTTAAGCTACAGCTTTCTCCTATTTTCTGCATGCCTATAGTAAAGAAATGATGCTTCTAAATAATGTTTGAAATAACATATTGAACTATATTGTCAGCTTCCTTTACATAATAGATTTTCCTTAAGAGCTTTGTGACTTCTAGCATCAAATTGAAASAGAAAGTTCAATTTTATCTTGGAAGGATAAATACATTTTTACACCAACTGAAAAAAAATCCATACATTTGGGAGCTTTCTGGAATAGTTCATCTTCAGAACAGTTTGTAGCTGGAGGGTTTTTATTAAGATTCAGCTTGGCTGGAGAAACAGGTATCTGTGTGGAGCTCCCTGGTGCCTGCAGCCACCAGCACTTTTCCAGCCTTGTCTTTTCATGTTGAAATCTGCCATTTCAGCCTCGGTGATGTCACTTAGACTGTGCAGAGCTCATTGCTCCCCCTGTGTATAATACATTTAAAGAACTTCATGCACTGCTCATGCCTTTATAAAACTGGCCTGGAAATGAAATCGGTTATTATTGTAATTATCAGTAATGCATGTAAGTATATGTGAAAGAATAAGTACACAAAGAGTCCTGTAATCACCATCAAAATTACTTGAATGAGGGCCTTTAATGTTAGACATTTCCGAAGTCATGACTGCCTGAGTGAAGTTTGCCTCACCTTATGTGTGTCAAAGTACAGAATTAAGGATGTTGGAAAGGGAATTTTAAACATAGGACCTGTTCTTTGAATACAAATATTGGGAGGTACAGGGTGTGTGGCTTGCAAGAAGAAAAAAGGAGATATGAAATGTAAGGGAATTAAATGTCAGATTGGAAAAAAATCCTACCTCTTCCAGAGTTATTATCTGAGACTTTTAACATAGATATTTTGAGGATATAATTTCTTAACTTTTTATAAAAGGAGACTGAATCACTCTGCCCTGCACCACAAGAAATTTTAGTCATATGTAGTATAGAAAAATGTCACTAGCAGGGTTGGAATAAGATAACTAGTACCTGTATGGTTGTGTTCTCCAACAAARTTAGTATGCAGAAAATACATTTTGTGTGCACTGCTGCTGATTTCTTTTGAGTGTCAGACACAGCCTGTTCTGCTCCTTCTCCTTTGCTGTCTCCCCTCCAACTTGTTCTTGTTGTGCCTGTTGCTTCCTTCCAGACCAAACGATGCCATTTTGGCAAAGGTAGGAGTAGCAATGAAAAACTCTTTATGAGTAACTCTTTATGAGAATAAATGTTACGCTAATTCATATATAGTCTGTGTAATATTATAGGCCATGTAAAAATACCAGTTGAAAGGGTTTATGTGAGAGCAATAGAAGGGACAAGAAAGGAAGGAAACCACTGTTTTTCTGTACCAGCACTAAATTCAGTTTTGATGAGAACATTCAGATGTGCACACACACACAGGGAAATTATATATCACAAATCACAGAATCATGGAATGGTTGAGGTTGGAAGGGACCTCCAGAGATCATCTAGTCCAACCCCCTGCTCCAGCAGGGACACCCAGAGCACGGGGCACAGGGCGGCATCCAGGCGGGTTTGGAGACCTCCAGAGAAGGAGACTCCACAGCCTCCCTGGGCAGCCTGTGCCAGGGCTCTGTCACCCTCACAGGAAAGAAGTTCCTCCTCACMTGGAGATGSAACTGCCTGTGTTTGAGCTTATGCCCGTTGCCTCTTGTCCTGTCACTGGCCACCACTGAGAAGAGTTTGGCCCCTTCCTCCCTACAGTCACCCTTCAGGTATTTATACATATTGATTAGATCTCCTCTCAACCTTCTCTTCTCCAGGCTAAACAGGCCCGGTTCACTTAGTCTTTCCTCATGTGATAGATGCTCCAGTCCTTTAATCTTCCTCTTTGTGTATATCAGTCTTCTGCTAATMGCTTTGATGAAGTTTCTGCCTTTAAAAAGTTTACTTTTACCTTTTTCCCATTACGGGTTTTACCTGCATGGACATTTGAAGTCATTCAATACACCAAAATTAAATGAGAAAATGAAAAGTTATAAATATGTATTGCATCTTGTCAATAATTTTTCAACAGTTTTACAAAAATGAATGTATATTGTAGCTCTTATTTTAAATATCTGAAAAGAAAGACATAGAAAGGTGAATATCAAATAATCAGACCTAAGTTGCAATGACAGGAGCATTTGGGCTTTRATGACCATCCATAAGCCGCAGAGTAAATGCTGATACACTTGGAATATTCAGGGAARTGTTGGTCTTGTATGTACTGCACAGTCCGCATTATCTCCATACTGTTAACCCGTACTTATAAAGCTAAGAGTTATTTGCGTGCCTGGAGTCATTTCTGAGAGAAAATTCCATATCTTGCAGCAGATTTGAAAATTTTGTCTTTCTGATCACAATTCCGATGACAAACATGAATTTCCTTGCATACGGTAAAGGTTAAGTTTCCATTTTGCTATCACAAAATAGCCATAAATATTCCTTAACTCCTACTGTAGGAACTAATTATTGCTACCAGATTTAGGATACATACAGCCTAGTACTTTTTATCACTCCTGGTAAGAAATTTCTCAAGGAAAAACACGTTTACATAATGCCCACTGTGCTACTGGCAGAAACACAGATACTGTATACTGGATAGCAGTGTGTAGGTCTTAACATGTGTTTTGAGAGCAGTTTTGGTAATGGATATATCCTCTGCACGCACTGGGAAGGTTTCAGGTCYGTGTTGAGAGGGGCTGCACATTCAGTGCTGATCTGGTTTTGCAGGCCTGAGACGAGGCTGTTCCGCGCTCCGTGGGCTGCTCTGGAAAGGCCTCCGGCGGAGCCGCATCCTCCTGGCCACAGGCGGCCGGATGGGAACTCCCTCCTGAGCACATCAGTGCTACATGTTAATTAGCTGGAAGGTGGCTTAGTCCTGTTTCCCCTGGGATTAAAATCACTTTCAGTGGAAGAGCTTTAATGACGGCCCTCATTTTATGCMGGGTTTAGTTGGCGATTTGGTAATTAGCACTAAGATGTAAAAAGCCATAGATGGCAAATGAGACGTTCTGAGGAAAATCGTTTTAATTGTTAATTTTCAATTTGACAGAGGCTCTGTGGTGTTGTGTAATGCGGTCCTCTAATCCGGCCCAAGCCCTGAGAGAAGAGAGCAGGAAGCCGTGGTGCAGTCCAGGGCTGCCGGTGTTCGGAGCTTTCCGTGGCCTTTCCCGTGTGCTCCAGATTGCAAAGTCTGGGCTTGGGCTGGTCACTGGTGGTGCCAGAGGCACCGGCTCCTAAGCCCAGGGCTTTTCCTGGGATTAAGGAATGGAGCACCCAGAGAAGTGACTGATTTTGCTCAACTCTCCCATGCTGGATTCCGTGCAGTAAACTTCCCAATGCTGCAGCAGATTTGTTGTTTTGCTGTGTGCTGTATACGTGAGTGGCTGTCGCTTGGGGTGATTTCTCAGCTTTGTGTGATTAATCACTGCCTCAGGGCTGCACATTCAGTGCTGAACCGAGCAGGGTTATACGGCAGATGAATACTGTTTGCTTGAGCCCTGAATTGCTGCTACATGTACATGTTTGCAGTGAAAATCCCGTTATCTCCTGTAAGGTGCAGTATAGCCTTTCAAGTACGGGCAAAAAGTCTACGGAGCTACATGTTATTGTATGGAGAGCGTGCTATCTATTTTTAGAGGGGTCCTTCTGTCCTGTGTAGCAGCCTCTACATTAAAAAAGAGGGAAAGAAAGAGGGGGGGAAAAAAAGCCCTCCGTGCACGGTCAGTGGCGTTAGTCATTTTTCCAGGGGAGGGAAGGAGGAGGAGAAGATGCAGAAATTCTCCTCCTCGCCGAGAGTAGTAGCACTGCGAGGATGAGGATGCCTTGCCCTCGTTTTTATGACTTGGGAGCTTTTATAGCCGGCAGCCAGATGTGCTGAAACTCCTGACGGCAGCATCTCTTCACTGCGTGTTTTTAATAGGCTTGGAGAAATATGAGGAGAGCACCTGAAAGCAGCTCGGCTTCCCGCTCGAGCTGGGAATGCCCAAAAAGCTGCTCGCTGCTCAGGCTTCTTGCTACAGGCAGGAGAAAGCTGCACGGGTGCTAAATCTTCTGTGACAGAATTAGAAGAATAATGATTGTACAATTAGCTCTCAGCCCCTGCTCGTTTAGGCACAGTTTTTACAGAGGTCAGGAGAAATATGGAACTTGATTGGCATGTTTGCATCTGATGGTGTGTGCAAAGCAGATGACTTTTTAAGACAGGTGGTGAAGAGAAAGAGAAGGGAAGGAAAGAGAGAAAATGCAATTTGAGACGCTGCGCCAGGTCTGCAATTCTGTTTTATCTCATTTTCATGGGGTTTTCTCATCTCCTCCAAATATTTTACAAAATGATCTGTTTGGACAGACGCTGAACAACACTAGGTAAGTAGAAATATAACATTTTGCCCTTACTATTTCAGAGCTTATGTTAATAGCAGTCTGTTTACATGTATTTCAGTGGGGTGCCTTTACAATTACACTCCTTGACGTTAATATTTTTGTGGTAGGAATGAGTCTCTTGCACTGGTATTTTTATGCCTTACAGCAGGATTTAAACGAGAACTCTATCTGCAGGAATTAACCCAGCACAGATAGAATAAAATATTTAAGATGGATATGGATCTTTCAAATACATTAGCTGCCATTAGAAGGTGGCGTTATTAGGTGTAATCCTTGAGGTGTATGAAATATTCATAAACAAATTTGTCTGAGGAGATGATTTCTGTGCGGCTGTGGCAGTGAAAGGATTAAATGCTCCAAGATGTGCCTGTTTAATCATGCATCATCTGCTGGAAGATGGAAATTATCAGCCCTGCATTTTGCTTTTTGCACATATGCAGAAAACAGCTGCTTGTTTTTAGGGGACATAGGTTCTGAGCTTCGCAAGCAGCCAAATTATTGATGATCGGTGGGTGCTTTGCAGTCGGTCAGCCGGCTCTGTGGGTTCCCCTTCGTGGATAGTTCCTGTTCTGTGGAATTAGAGGTGGCGGAGAGAAGTTGCTGTTTGTTGCTCTGATGTGGTTATTGCTTGATTGTCGGCTGGTTTTCTTTTTGTGAGAAGACTGAGATAAAAAACCCTGCGTTTTGCTACGTTATTCAGTAAACAAATGCCGTGTTACTGATGCTCAGAACTTTATCAGGCTCCTGTTAAATATTGAGGATAAAAATGAGGAAGAATAGAATCTAGAAAGTGTGGATGCAGATTGGAGAGAAAGAGAATCCTGTAGTTTTTTTATAGTGGTAGTGCTCTGATGGAAACATTCTGGAAAAAGGGTGGAAGTAATATTGCAGAGCCTGTACCCAGCGTTTTAATCTTCTCTGTGGCAGAAATGCCTTTTAAATGGGATATTCTTTCTTCAATACAATGATAATGGAACCTAATACTTCAGAAAACTATTTACCTTTTATTTCCCAGAATAGTCTATTAAGGATTCTCTCAATTCCTCCTCATGTTTCTCTGTAAAATGCTATGATATTTATTTTATTTTACTGCCCTTAAGCTTTTTTATCCTAGTTACGAGTTTCTAGGGGGGAATGCAAAATGACGGAGGTAGTTTTTGTCATTGTGGTCATTTCAGTGAATTCAGATSTGCTTTTTACGATATAAATGAAACCTGCAGCCAATGGGGGTGTTTTATACACAAAGTCTTGCTGTGAAATCTTGGAAGCTCCGCAAAATGGAGCAGGGATTTCTGTGCTGGCGACGGCGGGGCCGGCCGGTGCYGGTGCCCGAGCGCCGAGGCCCAGGCCCCGCAGCAGCCGCTGGGCCCGGGGCAGCTCTTCCCTCTCCTGCAGCCCTGGATCTCTTGTTGCAGACCAAGCTCTGTGCTTTTTATTATTTTTCCTCTTTATACCAACCCCTATGCAAGGTGCATGTGCTTTCTTTATAATTCCCAGGCTGCACATGATACCAGTTTTAAGGCAAAAGCCCTCAGAGAAGTATTTTATTCTGTTTGCCGTGGCTGAGATTTAACATTATATTTTTTTTTCCAGAGGACTGGTTATCAAGAAACAGTTATGAGGAAGCCCAGCCTTTCACTCACTCTGACCTGCCTTTAATGGGATGAGAATATTTCTGTATTTATTAAAATCTCTGAATCTCTGTAGTGTATTCCCAGGTAACTTATGCTTTCGGCCTGAGGAAAACATTGTGCAATTTTTAACAATATGTGGAGTAATCATGAGAGACCAATGTATGTTTTATGTGGTATCTAGACTTATTGAAGGTGTCTGAGTAAAAGGATTCTTTCTGTTCTCTCAGCAAGTACCAGTATTTTATTTGCTCTTSAGAAGATGGCTGTGAAGGCCTATATTGAATAGTCCCTGAAAAGTATTACCTCAGTTTCTCTGGGAAGCTACTGCTTTCTTAGTACTGTCTTATTAAAATTGCTATTAATATTTTTAGTTATGTCAATGTACAGTATGTTTTAAGTAGGTTTTTCACTTAAAGCTTTGCACAATTTGTGTGAGGCACCTRCTGGGAACTGGCTGTTGATTCATTAAGAGTTAATGTTTCAGAACTGTGAAAACCCCAAGAAACCCCAAGTATCTTCAGCAAGGAAAAGATTTTGCTTTTCATGAGATACAATGTGGTATTTGTCTTTGAACTTYGAGGTTAAATAGTTAGGGGACTAAAAAAGAGACGATTCTTTGGCTTTTTCTTTTTTTTTTTTTTTTCTCATTTTATTTTTAATACTGAGAATTTCAGGGTCCGGAAAGGTACTAAGTGTGAGTAACCCCAGAATCATTAACTGCAGGTATACGGAGTAATGCTGTGAAGAAATGCTGCTCTGCTAAGCATAGAGCAGATCGTAAACTCTAAAACAAAGAGTCGTAGTGCAAATAGGTAGTATGCCCAGAACTGAAGGGGAAAATAGGTGCCCGTTAATTTGACCATGGTCCGTACTCTTAGAGTTCCTCGGTTCTCCCAAAAGTTTAGACACACAGTGATTTTGCTTGGGAACGCCAGCTGTGTTGGCCTTGCATTTCTGATATTAAACAGAACATTAGCAGAATTATATATAAAAATGTCTTGTATCATRTTACAGCAAAGCGTTCCATGAGTCGGCTTTTTTAAGGCTTATTCTTTGCGTGACAGTAGCTGGTATGAGAGAACCCAAAGGATCCTGGACTTCTCCTKGGTTGGATTAATGCTGCTGCTGAAGTGAGTTTGGTTCCCTCTGCCAGCAGCGGCTGCTGGCGGTTGTTGCAGCTCCCCTCGGCAGCCCCCTGCGAGGCCGCGAAGGCGCCGCTCCAGCACTGGCAGCGGTGAGGGCAGCACTGATAGCCCTGAGGGCTGYGCTGCCATCCAGAGGGACCTGGACAGACTGGAGGACTGGGCGGTGAGAAACCTCATGAGGTTCAACAGGGGCAAGTGCAGGGTCCTGCACTTGGGGAGGAATAACCCTGGACACCAGTACAGATTAGGCGTGGACCTGCTGGAGAGCAGCCCCGCAGAGAGGGACCTGGGTGTCATGGTGGACGACAAGTTGACCATGAGGCAGCAGTGTGCCCTGGTGGCCAAGAAGGCCAACGGGATCCTGGGGTGCATTAAGAAGAACGTCTCCAGAAGGTCCAGGGAGGGGATCGTCCCCCTATACACAGCCCTGGTAAGGCCACATCTGGAGTACTGCGTCCAGTTCTGGGCTCCCCAGGACAAGAGGGCTGTGGAGCTGCTAGAGAAAGTCCAGCGCAGGGCTATGAGGATGATCAGAGGCCTGGAACATCTGCCCTATGAGCAAAGGCTGAGGGAGCTGGGCCTGTTCAGCCTGGAGAAGAGGAGGCTGAGGGGGGACCTGATCAGTGTGTATAAATACCTCAAGGGAGGCAGTAGGGAGGAGGGGGCGGCCTCTTTTCAGTGGTGGACAGTGACAGGACTACACACAAATGGCCACAAGCTGAGGCACCAAAAGTTCCACAGGAACTTGAGAAAATACTTTTTGACAGTGAGGGTGACAGAGCCCTGGCACAGGCTGCCCAGGGARGTTGTGGAGTCTCCTTCTCTGGAGATATTTAAAGCCTGCTTGGATGCTACCTTGTGCCCCGTGCTCTAGGTGACTGTGCGTGAGCAGGGGGGTTGGACTAGATGACCKCTGAGGTCCCTTCCAACCTTAAGCATTCTGTGATTCCGTGATTCCATGGGGTCACCTGACATCTCGGGCTCGGCCAGCTCCAGCACTGGCAGCTATGGAGTCACTTCACAAGTTTTGCATCACCTGTGCTGTGGTCTCTAGTGCCGGCTCCTGTGCAATCACACAATCACAGGATGGCTGAGGTTGGAAGGGACCTCTAGAGATCATCTAGTCCAACCCCCTRCTCCAGCAGGGGCACSCAGAGCACGGGAACCAGGGTGGCCTCCGGGTGGGTTTGGAGACCTCCAGAGAAGGAGACTCCACAGCCTCCCTAGGCAGCCTGTKCCAGGGCTGTTAACTGTGTATTATGTCACCTGTGTCGTGTGCARTAGATTGCTTGCTACTGAAGGCATGGTTAGGATTGCCTCATGCTGGAAAGTCTCAGAAGTTATTTTGCATTCTTGGCATTCGGGAAGAGCTAGTATGGGAACAAAGTCATCTTGCGTTTTGGAAAAGCAAGTACAAGGCARGCACACAGGAGACTTTTATTTTGCTTTTGAAAGCGCCGTAGCTATGTGCTTATATCCAAATTCTAGAGAAGAGTCTAAGGGAGCTTCAGATTTTTGGACTTCAATTATATTTTSATGACTTTGACCAATAGATGTTTTATTCAAGCGAGTAAGGAGACTGAACGAAAGTTTTTTAGATGTCTTTAAAAGCCTTCAATTACCAGATAGACTAGATTTGCTGATTGTCATTCTACATTTGGAGTTGAATGTGCAAACACTGTGTTGTCAGATGCTCAATTTGTAGCAGCCTGCTTTGTGCTGCATTGGCATTCACAAGCGCTTTGGGCAATATTCAGATTAACACATCATTGCATAAGGGCRAGTATCCTGTGTGACTAAAATTGATACAAGCTGCACGCAATGATATCCAGTCCAATTTTACATTTACAGTACATACMTTGCAGTACTTTTCTTTGAGAATGGAAGGCAGTAGATTTACCTACATGTGCTACGTGAAGGTGCGTTTGCTGTCCAGGCTGTCCACACAGGGGCATAAGATGACTGGTATCTTCCCCCGAAAAAGGTTGTTCTCATCACGGATTCTGTGTACAGCACAGACTCAGCAGTGGCCCATGTTTTGAAATTTAAAACCCTAGTTTTAAAAAAATAAAATATATCTTATATCAATAAATTGAAACCTAATTTTTTAGAGATTTAAGTGTTTTTGCTTTTGGAATACCTTGGTAAAGCATCTTTTAAATGTTCTATTTTCAAAAGGTTATTAAAATATCTAAGAAATYAG